TGATATTGAAAAGCCTGACTCCTCTTGCATCCTTGGTATCCAGACTTTGTGCACTGGCTCTAGGCTGCCAAGGGAGAGCACCATGACTGTCCTGGAGGAAGCTCTGCAACCTTACAAGGTGTTGTCTTCTGATTAGTCTCATAATTTAGCAGTCAGCAGACAATTACACCATTTTACTCAGTGACTTTTATATGCTTTGCTTCTTTCAAGAGGTGAAATACTTGATTATAAACAAAATTGAATGAGATACCAATCGCTTTTTCTGTATTTCTGAAATCTATGGATTGTGATGTTCATGCAAACCATGGTAGGCAGGACAGATGAAGACAGCAGTCCCAAGCCCAGAGTTAGTATCTCACAATTTTAATGGAGCAAGATTTCTGCCTTCTTCATTAAAGAAGAGCTGAGGGATATAACTTGTTATCAAGTAGTGTTGGGTCGTCCTGGCATGGTTCTTTATCATGGACTCAAAGTGATTACTATTGCTGGCACACTGGTATCCTGGATGGGCAGGGGCCAGGTTATCAGAAGAAGAAGTTAATGTGGAGCTCATTTCCTGCTGCCATGTACCTTGTTCATGTCAAGGAAGCACTGCAGTGGATGGGAAGGCAGAATCTTCCATTCCCAGACCCCTCCTCCCTCCACAGTGGGATCACTTGGCTGAGCATTCTTGTGGAATTCTAATAGTTATACTGTGTCTGGGTGCATTTTAATAGTCCCATTCCATCCACATGTCTCTTCCCCAGATATGCCTGTCACCAGTCCTTCAATCATTCTTTGAGGTCCCTGTCCTTCTGGCTAAACTTAAAGTCACTGCCTATCGGGCCATCTTTTCTCATCCGAAGTGGACCATGGATATATTACAAGGTTTTGGTTACAATTCTTTTCAGAGCCTGTTCCTTCAAATGCTATCATAGTCCACTTAAGAATCATGAAAATGGAAGGTCATTTTCGACTAGGCATTCAGGGTACTCAGACCTTTCTGTATCCCCTGAATCTTATTCTTTCTCATCAATGCCCCTACTTTTCACCTAAGATACTTGTTAGATCCTAAATCCAGTAATGTAATCATTCATCATCTTTTTTAAAAAATTTTTTAATCTTTATTTTATTTATTTATTTTTATGTGGTGCTGAGGATCAAACCCAGTGCTAGGCGAGTGCTCTACCGCTGAGCTACAACTCCAGCCCTCATTCATCATCTTTTGAAAAAATTTTTTTTCTGCCTTAGCCTGGCTGCTACAAGAAATTCAGGATACTTTTTTTTTTTTTAATTTTTGTAGTTGTAGATGGACAGCATGCCTGTATTTTTTTGTTTATTTTTATGTGATGCTGAGGATTGAACCCAGTGCCTCACAAGTGCAAGGCAAGTGATCTGCCACTGAGTAACATCCCCAGGAATCTTTTTTGATGAAAAAAGAAAGTTCCTGAGTTTTCTTCTTAGCCCAGAATCAAGAATTTAGAGATTAAGCATATAATTTTTCGTTTCCATCTCCTTTTTTGATTCTGTAAGTCTCTATTTCTGTGAGCCCTGCAATATCTCCCCCACCCCTCCACCCGCCAGACCAGGGATTGAACCACCCAAGGACATTTAATCACTGAGCCACATCCCCATCCCTTTTTATTTTTTATTTTGAGACAGGGTCTTACTATGTTGCTGATTCTGGCTTTGAACCTGTGATCCTCCTGCTTCAGCTTCCCAAGCTGCTGGGGTTACAGATGTGTGCTACCATACTCAGCAAGTATCCTTTTTATAAACTCTTTCCAACCAGAGTTGGTTTCTTGTCCTTGTAACCAAGAACTCAAGACAGTTAAAAGATATTGATGTTAGGAGATAAATGTAGAAAACTAAACTTCAGGAACCTGTGGGAATAATAAATAGGTTAGTTAGATGTTTGGGAAATACCTTGGGTTGTATTAATTTTTAAATACGAATTTTTTAAATGACTAATTATTGCCTGTGATCTCCAGAATTTAAAGTTTTTTGTTTGTTTGTTTTTTAATCTAAACAACATTATTGCAAGTAGTCATCCAGTGCAGTGTGGAATTCCCATGTCCTTCAAACTTCAGAAGCAGGGACAGTTTGTCCCCTAGATCTTCACATCCTAGTGCACACTGGTAATGATTTTGTTATTTAAAAAATAAGGTAACATTGGGGTAACCTGTGTCTTTAACTGTCTGGATTCTTAGTTTCTGGAAAGAGAAACGAGCTCTGTTGGGGAAGGAGTTTATTGGAAGAATATTGAAGGGCCCACAGAAACAGTGAGAGGCTTGAATTCCCTGAAAAAAGGGGAGGAGTGAATTAAGACAACTCTGAAGAGGTCAGAAGTCATCCAGCCCTCACTGTTTGGCCATGGTGGTTCTTACCACTGCTCTTGCAAACCACCACTTCCACTGGACACTATTGCTACCACTGCAGTCACTAGAAACCACTCTTGCTGCCATGAATGGGTCTGGAGTACCTCTTTGAGTCATTATTTTCACATTCAAAGTCTTGAGCTGAGGCAGAGTTTAAGTCATACACAGTGTATTGGCTTCTGGTGTGCATGGTGTGAGTGGGGTCTTCCTTAGAGAGAGGCCAGGCATCATGTAGTGGGAGGTTGGTCATTACTGTAATGGGAATCAAGTCTTTTCTCCCACTTCAGTGTTCAGTTCTTTCTTCCAGTTTGTATACCTTTTATTTTTTCTTGCCTTGTCACATTTACTAGGAACTTCAATGCAATGTTAAATATTATTGAAGAGAATGAACACCTTTGTTTTCTTCCTGATCCAGGAAAACTGTTTATTCTTTTACTATTAAGTTTGGCATTAGCTCTAGGATTATGGCCTTTAAATAAGTTGAAGAAGTTTATGTCCATTAATCCTGGGTCTTTTATTATAAAAGAATATTGAAATTTTATTAAATTGTTTTTCTTCTATTGAGATAATACATGTTTGTTGATTGCTAATATAATGAATTATATTGGTTGACTTTTTGTTTGTTTATTTTTTAGTGTTGGTCATAATGTGTTATCCTTTTTATATAGTGGTCAATTCTGTTTTCTTAAATACTTGGTAAGATTCATCAGTGAAGGTATCTGGACTCGCGGTTTTTTGTTTTTTTTTTTAAAGGGAGGGTTTTAGATTATGAATTCTATTTCCTTAATAGATTAGGAATATTCATATGTTGATTTATTCTTGAATAATCCTAGGTAATTTCTGTCATTCTAAAATTTGTCCATTTCATCCAGAATATTGAAATTATTGGTTTAAAGTCATTCATAAATCCCTTATGATCCATTTGATACTTGTAGCATGTGTAATGATATTCCTCCTCATTCCTGATGCTGATAATTCATGTCCTTCTGTTTTTATTGACTAATATGAATAGAAATTTATGTTTTATTCTTTCTTCATTGTTTATTTTCTTTTCATTGATTCTTGTTACTTTTTTTTTCCTTCTACTTTTTTGGAGTCAAATTTGTTCTTTTCTTTATAGTTTTTTAAGGTAGAAGCAGCTTTGTTCATTGATTTGACACTTCCTTTTTTATATGAGTATTTAATGCTATAAATTTCCCTAGAAGCACTGCTTTAGCTGCTTCTGTAATGTGTTATGTTTTTGTTCAGTTCAGAATATTGCCTAATTTACTTTTCTCTCCTCCTCAACCTGTGCATTGTTTAATTTCCAAATATTTGGGGATTTTCCAGATAGCTCTCTATAATTTTATGTTCTCATATTTCTCTGCCTTTGGCTTTTTGGTGTGCTTTCTGTGAGATCACCACTTGGGTTTGCGGAGGAGTCACTGATCTCAGCCCATAGGTCACTGCACAGGCTCCCTCAATATAACCTGAAGGACAGGAGTGTGTGTGGACTGTGGCTGCCCTTTCATGGTTGACGGGTGAGAAATGGGGCCAACCCTGCTGCCACCACTGCTGTACTCCTCAAGGCTGAAGATCAGAATTTGTTAAAAGTCTGCCTGTTAGACCACCAAGTCCCCAATTTCAATTTACAGCTCTGTACCTGAGAACTCTGGCAGCCAGGCATCTAAACAGAGTTTTCTTTAGTGAAATTGAATGATGCCAGAGTTAAATTCCTTGCAAAAAGAGCAGAGGGGATTCCTGGATCATCCTGGGGGGAGATGAGTAGACGTGAACAACAGGAGAGATGGCCATCTTTGGTTTCCCCAGTACCCTCTTGAAAGGCAACTACTGCAAGGTTCAGATTACATTTCCTATTTGCTATCTGTTTTTAACATGAAACTTGAGACTTGTTATCTGTATGTGCCATGACAATATTTACAATAGAGAGTTATTAATTTTAATATATATGTAGATGACCAACCGATGAGTGAGATCTTCTCTTTAAAAGGTAGAACTGTGTTCATGTAAGGAATGTCCTATTAAATGCAGACTGGACTTTAATGTCCAGTCCCTAAATTGTGAATGATAGTTTGCTAGGTATTATAGATACTTTAAATTTTCTTCTGAGTACCTTTCTGGGTTTTCTAACCTTTTTTCTAGTAAACATACATTATTATGTTTATTTTTACCTTTTAAAGGTAAAATCTAGTAGAATTATGAAACAAATATGAGTTATCAGCTCTAATCCAGTGACTTCAGGTGTAGGCACTCTGAAGGTAATGATTTAATAGCAAACTGAGTTGAACAGAATTGTCTCTAAAGGTGTTTTCCAGAAGCATCTATGCAAGCCTTTTATAATGTCAGTTTTGACTTCTCCACGAAAAATTGCAGGTTCCAAGAAAGGCCTTCTGGCCCTGTTCCCAAATCAGAATTCCTTAAGGAAGGTAAAATTACATTGTAATCATGGACTTTACAGGCCAAGAATATTCTTGTTTCTTCTTCTCGCCCCTTCCCTGTCCTCATACACTGGTTATTGCATTCCTGCTGTGGAGGGACAGAAGATTTTTAACACTGTCCCAGCACCTTTCTTTTAAAGAGTAGACAGGTGCCAGTGTTTCATTTGTTCACTAACCCAATGTTCCCTCTCTGTTCTGTCCACAGGCAGCTGGCTAAGAGTCTTGGGCAGGCTGGTGAAATTGAGCCTGAAACAGAAGGGATACTAACAGAGTATGGTGTAGATTTCTCTGATTTCTCCTCAGAAGTTCTAGAATGTCTCCCCCAAAGCCTGCCCTGGACAATTCCACCAGAGGAACTCAGCAAGAGAAGAGATTTAAGGTAAATACCTGAAATCCTTTAATAAATCTCTAATATTTTTCTGCCTTATAACCTATTTCCTAGGGGTTGGACGCAGAAGTTTCCGTCTTTCCACTAACATTCAAATTCAGTTGAGAGTTCAGTGTTTCTTGAGTATTTAAGAAGCAAAACTGGCTTATGAGGTAAATCCAGCACAATACCATTTTATATACAGTTCATGAACTCAGAATGGTTTTTATATTTTAAATGGTTGGAAATAGTATAATAGTAATATTTCAAGAAAATTACATGAAATTCAAACTTCAGTGTCCATAAAGTTGCATTGGAGCATAACCATGCTTATTCATTTACATATAGCTTGTGGCTATTTTGCACTACAACTGTGGGGTTGGGTAGCTGCAACAGAGACCAGGTAGCCTGCAAAGCTGGAAATACTTACCATCTGGCCTTTTACAGAAGTTTGCTGACCCCTGTTCTGGACCATTCTGATTTCAAAAATTAAAGGTGCCACTTCTTTTCTTCTCACTGTACCCATAGGTCTGGTCAAATAAAAGCAGTGTTATCTGGTTAGAAATGCTTCCTCTAAGTGGGCCTCTCTAGGCACAGACCAAAAGATTCAAGACTTCTGTGCTTGGAGTCTCATTTTAAAGCTTTACTTTTAGGTCTGGAATTCGTTGGAAAGTACTTTTGTGGTATTTTTATAACAACATCTTCTTTGAAGATGTTTCTTCATTGTGGGATGTTAGTTCTTTTCTGATATTTCTCTTCAGAATTTGGTTTCAGTACTGGCATTCATTTTGGATGCCACATGGAGATATTTAGAACCAAGAAACTTTTCATACAACCCACTGAGGCTGTGGAAGGTTTTTACTAAGGTTATCCCATGTCAGAGTCTTTCCACCACACTTGGTCCCTCTGTGCAGCTGAACTTACAGTACCTTCCACTCTGGATGCCCATAACTCCACTGACTTTGAGAGTACTCTTCTGCCCCCTCTTGCTATTTTTTGTCAGTGTGGCTGGTGGAACACACATTATATTTGAAGTCAGCTGACCCAAGTTGCTATCCTGGATTTTTGTAGTATTCCCCTCTCTCCTGAGCTCTTGGTGGTGCATGGGTACATTATCTCCTCAGGGGCTCTGAGATCTGGGACCTCTGACCTTTATTTACCTCTATGAATCTTGGTTTTCTCATAAACAGATTGAGAAATTTGTTTGCTGAGATCTTTCCCTGAATTTAGGAAGCTGTAAAGATTTGCTGACAAAAGATCAGAATGAATGGCTGAACTTTTTTGTTTTAAGTATAATTTAGTATATCCATTCTGCATTTTGACCAAGTATTTAAATGTACTTACTCTTTCCCAAAAAACTCTACTTCCTGAAGTGTACAAAGAATACCCAAAGAAGTGCACAAAGAAATATGTATGAGAATGATCACTACTTTATTGTAAAAGTGAAACATCAAAAACAGTACTGATATACACTAATAAAGGAATGGTTTAATAACTTGGGTATATCCATATGATAACATTCTCTCCAATTGTGCCAAAAGCGGGGCTAGATGTATGTTGACTGTCCTAGAACTGTGGCCAAATACTGTTAAGTGAAAGAAACAAGTTTCAGAATAATATATGGGCCTATTCTTATAAAATAATATATAAAATGATATAAGTATATATATAGAAAATGCGTATAATACACATACACACAAGTATATATGTGGAGCAAAGAATCTAAAAAAAGGAAACTATTAACATAATAACATTCCCATGGGGAATGAATTCAATGGCGTAGTAAGGAGGTAGGGAAGTAATACTTTACTTTTCATTTTGTATACCTCTGCATTTTTCAAAAAAAAATTAACTTTATTATGAATACAAATGTAAGAAAATAGATGTGCTCATCTTTTCTAGCGTGTCTACTAGCTGCAGATAAATACTAAGCAGTGCAGAAGTCACAGGGCCCAGTATTCCTCCAAGCTCCGCCCTACCATTTCTCTGGCCCTCATTGCCTTGGACTACAGAATTGCAGAATATACAAGGCCTTACTCTGTGGAAAGCCTCTGTTAAAGTCTATTGTACTTGCTGTGGAGGGATGGAAAGGTAGAGGGACTTTAGGATGCTCTGTGCCAATTAGTGGAGTAACAAGGATTAAAAAAAAAAAAAACTACTTAAAGCTTCAAGTATGTTTTTCCCTGTCTACTATCTCCAGAATTATATTTTTAAACTTCATATCTGATTTTTTTTATTCTTTGCTTTAAGAGTCTTTCAACTGTTTCCTGATACCTTAGATAGAAATCTTAAACAGTGTTGAATATACATTTGTGCTTATGCATATGACTTCATTTTAACATTATAAGCAAATGTACTTCTTCACTAAACTATTATTTACGTTATAAACACAGATGAAAGTAGAAAAATTAAAATGAAGTGAGAATGAAATAAATTATTAAATATTTTTACTTTTACTTACAAAGGTGTAGAAGACCTGGTTTGTTCACAATAACAATTTGCTTTTGGTGAAAGCAATTTGATTAATTATTCCTTTTTGTTATGTTTACATTTTTTTCCATTAATTTGTTTTTAAATTTTGCTTAACAACTTTGAAATGGAAATTCAAAAATCTTGTTTATTCCTATATATTTTGCTACTTGCTTTAATGGTTATAATAAATGAAAAAGATATATCTTTAGAAGATAAACCGAGCTCACTAAATCAATGCTCATTTTTTAGTCCTAGTAACCAGTTACGTTCCAATTCACTTTGAAATATATTTTCTCCCTGCCTGATGTCATACTTGTGGACTATTGAAAGGCACTGCATCTTTAGTTTAGAATGTTTTTTTTGTCTGTTTGTTTTAAGATGGGTTCATAATCCTTGGTTATTCTTCTGATGTCATCTTAAAAATAGAAAATTCTATTAAGTTCAGGTGTGTGACAGTTTTTTAGTTTATACACTATGTCATTTTAAGCCTCAAACCATATAATCAATGCATTTCAACAAATCCAGTTTTTAAAATGTCATCTTCAAAACATAAATATTATTTTGTTTTCAAGATGCATTAACTTTTTTCTTAATATTAAAATGCCATCTTTACATTGAAGGGACAGATTAAATGTGTTTATTTTTCCTAAATGATATTCTGGGTAATATATGATTGGTGGCCATTATTTTTAAGTCATAATGCAGCTGGGGATGACTTTATGTCAGAAATAGAAGAAATGTCAGCTTTGCCATTTTTCTGGTATATCAGTAGTATTAATAGTAATATTGATATTTTTAGTTTAATATTTTCTTTAATCTCTGGATCTTAGCAGGAATATTTTTATTACTTGCCTTTATTATAAGAATTGGTTTAAGCTAAAACTAATCATATCTATAAATCCATGCAGCTGGGCCTAAATAAATACCCTTTAATCATAGTGGGCTGAAAGCGTAGGTACCAAGGTAGCTGAGGTCGTTGCCTCTTGTTATGGAGTGCTGACTCATCTGCATGCCTCTCTTATCCTGTGGCCCAAATACCCAGTGAGGACACCAGAGTTAATTCATATGTTTGTGTAGCTGTGTAGTCTTGATTAATTTCTTACTTTTTACAATAAAAAATTAATAAAGAGAAATATATTGAAGTGTTTGGATCTGATTAGATTAGCTTTTTCTTTGATGTTGTGATAGATAATAAACAGTTTTTCAGCCAACAGATAATTATTAAACACCATCCTGGCCACTAGAAATATGAACCAAAATGGACATGGTCTCGCAGAAGAACATAAGTCAAATGTATTAAACAATAGTCAAATATGGAATTATAATGAAGGAGAGAGGCACTTGGTACAAGTACTTGAGATAGTGTGATTTCTTCTGCTCACGGGTTCAGTGTTCAAAGAGATTTTTTAAAACCAGTATTTATTTTCTGAGGAATAACAAAGGAGCTAGCATTTTCTAGCAAATGCTGAAGAATATGTGCTATATTGAATAAATTGATTCATATTCTCTAAACTCCTAAAATCAACTCTTCTGTGTCTTTTTCCTTCTCCTTCTATCTCCTCTCCTAAAACATTTATTTTCATATATTGTTTATATATGTATAAAATACATGCATATGTATATTTAATATATAGCTATAGGAAATACTAAAAACAACTTGTTCTTCAGGGAAACAGGTTCATATTCAGTAAAATTACAGCAAAGAATAGCTAGTGTTATAATATTGGAATGAGTAAAGTGCCAAGGTCATTGGTATATGAGCTGAGGTCTGAGAAATGAGCAAGCATGGGGGAGCTGACCAAAGCTGTCTCCATTGTAGTGCTAGCCGTATCAGCAGAAGGGCAATATGTGCCCCCGAGACTCTGAGACCCCAAGACCCTTCTTTGACAGGACTTGGCAGGTCTTTGGTTTGGTAGCCTCTCCATCCCCTCTCCTATGTCACCCTGGCTTGGAGCCTGCAGTGGTACTCTGGCTCTAACTATGTCAGAACTTCTACATACCCATTTAGGTTTGGTATTTGAACAATTATATTTGGAACAGAAAAGTTCCATCAATCTTTAAACCTCATAATCCAATTATGTCAGTAAAATTCCAGTTTTTTAGTCCAGTGGAATTGGGGTAATATTTTGCAAACTGCAGTTGAGAGAAATAGTGTTTATTTTGAAAAGAAAAATGGTTGGTTAGCAATTTTTAAGAAGTAAAGCTGGTGTGAACTTGTAGGGATGATCTGGCCCTTCTGATTGGGCTCACCAAATTTCTGGTCCTTTGGCTACCTTCTCTAGAGAATCCTTTCTTGAATGGCCTAGACTTGTAGCTCATTTTTAGTAGGGCATCTGAGGTTAAAAAAAGAAAAACATCAAGAGCAACACCAATACCACAAATCTTTGAGGATCAGGAAGACACTGTGTCCCAGGAAACTGCTTAAAGGGGATGGTTGGTTGCATCAGAAGTCCAAGAAACTCAGTGTTATTTCTGAGACTGGATGCAGTTATTTCCCATTTCACTCATTGTTTTGTTTCATTTGTTGCTAAACTGGAATA